TGATGTACATATAGATCAGACATATACGCAGTTCTATAAAAACTGCTGTAAGGCTTAATGCCATATCAAAAGTGTGATATACATATACATGGATACGAAAACCTCCCTCGTTGCTGCAGCCATGGTGAATTTGTTTATCTTTTGGCCTCAAACTTAAAATCGGAAATAAAAATCTGAGCCTCTATATGTATATTATTGTGTGTGTGTGTGTGTAAAGAGCTGTATATTTGCGATTTTGCGTATATCTACACAGATATACGCAAAATCAGGGTTTTTGGAAAGTGATGTATTGAGAGATTGAATGGTGATGTATTTATAATAATAACTGAAGCTCTGAAATGTGGAATAGGGTTTATTAGAGTGACATGGGCCGATTTTGGGTTGAAATTGGGCCGAACTTGTGGCCTTTGCAATGTCATTATCTGTGGATCACCCATGTGGGAAAAATTTGAAGATTCAAAGTGGGGCAGTGGCAGTTCATTTTTATAGTATATTTGTGGACTACTTGGCTTGGTTTTACACGGTAGATGAGAATTGTGAATTGTATACTCATTATTATTTTTATTTTTTGTCCACAAGTGATTGTAAATGTTTTTGGACTGAGATTTTTTGTGCAACTGCCATGTGTACCAATTTATTAATAGCCATTGGATGAAGAAATCTGGCGGGAAAATTGGGAATTGCAATTGGATCTGATTTCTCATGAGCTTTTATATATATAGTAGATAGTAGATGAGATATACATTCATTATCATCAATATTGTGAGCCTTTATAAACACTATTGTAAAAAAGAAAGGAAAAAAACGATTCAAGCTATATGTCGTGAAATCCTAACGGCAGGCAAGTTTTTTAATGGAAAACAGACCAAAATTTCGAGACCTAACATTATTAACACTTATACAATAAGGGAGATATTAATCATATACTCCATTTTTTGGACAAATACTCTGAGTATTAATAACAATAGCATCAACATCAACCACAAAAACAATAATAAAAATAATAGCAATATTGTCATACCTATTTTATTACTACTGTAAAAAGAAATTAACAATTAATTTTAATAATTTAAATTTTTAAGTCGGAGAAGAAAATGAAAGTCGTTATCAAAATTTTAAAGCACGGTAAGTATTTTTGCATATATAATTGTAATTTAAATAATTAATCATTCTTATAAATGGAACTCAAAATAAAACTTGTGCCATAGTCAAATTAAAATGCAACTAAAATCAATATTTTTAGTGACAATTTAAGTGCAACTTAGGATGTATTTGATCATTTTTGTGTAAAATTTTCAAAAGTTGTAGTCTAAAAATAGATAACGATTAACGAGTATAACGACCCTAAAAAAAAGGCACATTTGTATTTTGGTTTAAATATACGTAGTATTTAATTCACAGCAGCAATGTATCCTAACTAACTAGACTACAACGGAATGACGGGATTTGAACCCGGGTCTCTTGGGTGAGAGCCAAGTATCCTAACTAACTAGACTACAACGGAATGACGGTAGTGCTGTTACAAGTTTATTGTTTAAAGTTTAAATTTTTGCCATCTGTGCGGAGTAAAATTTTATACTTCCACCGTCCAAATTGGTATCTTATTATGTGTTACGGTACTTGAATGAATCTATTTTTAAGTTAATTTATTTGATTGTATGCATAAATTTGAAAATATAATTTATATATTTAAAGACTAGATAAAAGGTTCTACAAAACAACATGCGATATCGCTAAGTTATACTCCCTAAGTTTCCAATTAAATTGTTTGTTTATTATTCATATGATCAAATTTTATTCATTTTTTTTACTTATTTTCGTGACTAATTTAATAAAATAATATAGTCATGTCAACTCTTATTTTGTAGAGTTTTTTAATTAGTTTTTTAATATGCAAAGTTTATTTTTGAATGACGCTCTAATTTTCTAGTAACTTGCATTGAAAATAACTCTAGTAAAACATTGTAATTTAAATTGTGGCAAAGTGAGTATTAAAATAATTAGTGAAATTAATCAAATACAGTAAAAGAGTACTTCGTAGTTCGTATTAACCCAATATAAGTACACATGACGCAGGGAATTGGAAGGGGTATATGTGTGCACCTGATGGATATCGGGTCTGATGAACCCGACTCCAGGCCCAATAAAGGCCCACAATCATGCGAAGTGGACAAGTCCAGGTGCGAGCAACGGATCGAGCCCACCAAGGCGTATGTGAGTGATGAAACGGACGGCCCAATCATGGGCTGAATTGGGATGATCTAGTCCAAGAGAGAAATAGGACGCGTGGCCCATACCACCAGATTGTGGGGGAAATGGGAAGAGAACGAGACATGAAAGGAAGGAATCACAACCCCATGATCTCCATAATTCCTCCCATTATGTGTAATTTTAGTTGAGAAATTAGAATTACTAAAAAGGGGAAAGAACCCGCCATTGTAAGGGGGACACAACAAACAATTATGCACTTAATTAAAGAATATTATTGCGAGATTATATCTTTCTGATTCATATTACGTTCTTGGTCCGCCATCTGATCGGGTTAATCCCATCATTGGTGCTTTCATTGAGAGTTACTGTGAGACAGAGTTGTGAGATTATGGCCGGACGAAGGACGAGACGTAACACCGCCACTTCCGCCCAGTCGACGGTGAGGAGTGACCACCCTGAACAAGGCATGATCGTTCTATCAATGGGCTGGAAACGGCGTTGAATAATGTGGCTAACATGATGGCCAACATTATGGAACGCTTAGATCAGGCTCTCCCTAGCCCATCTGGTACCCGGAATGTCCCTACCGGGCAGCTCCGCCAGGTCCTGTATACTGCCAGTTCTCCCATCCTCCAGGAACTTCACGATCCGGAGGAGGTCGAGAGGGAGAGACAGGCCATCGCTAGGCGCCAGGCGGAGGAGATGGCCCGAAATAATAGGGCGAATGGGGATCGAACCAGGGCTGTGAGTCAAGCCATAGGCAACGGAAACGAAAACCCACGGGGGGCAGTTTTTGAGAGGATATCTCACCAGAGGGCTCACGTTAGTGAGAGGCTGGGGAAGAATCCGGACAAGGCACCCCAGGGTTGGGTACGACCCCAGGCCAGCCAAGTGGCATCCTCTAACCGCGAACCTCGGCAGCGAGCCGAGCGCGGTGGGAGCCAAGCGCCAATGCGTTCATTGGTGGTCTTGGACGACAAGGAAGTTCAGAGCCAAGCCAGGATCCCAGCACCGCAGCGTCTGGGGCCGCAAGTACCGGAAGCTGGCGAGTTCCAGGATTTGAGGCAACAGATCCAGGAGATGCAGAGAAAGATAAACAGGGGGCGAGTGTTCACTGCCCGGACGAATACTCTGCTCGCCCCGGAGATCTTTGCGGAACCATATCCGCAAGGGTTCAAAATACCGTTTTCAAGCGTTATGATGGGGAATCGGATCCCCAAGAACACATAAATAGTTATGTCTAGGTGATGATCGCCGTTGATGCCAGCGACGCGTTGATGTGCCGATGTTTCTTGCAGAAAGTTGATAGCAAGGTCGCGGACTGGGTGAATCACATTCCCGCCGGATCGATCCGGACTTGGGATGAATTGGGATTGCGGTTCCTAGAGTATTTTGCAGGAAACTGCCGTCCCAAGAAGCATTTCACTCACTTGGCTTCTGTGCGGCAGAAGCACGAGGAGTCCTTGAAGTATTTCCTAGTCCGATGGAGAAAAGAATCCAGGGAGGTATAAGAAACCGATGATAAATCCAGGTTAGCCATGTTCGCGGCGGCGCTGCGAGATGGTCTCCTTCATACCGATCTTACCACTCATCCCCCGGATACCTTTGAAGTGGCAATGGTCCGGGCCGGAAGGTATGTGACCCTGGAGAAGAGGAAGGAGGAGAAGAAAGAGAAGACTCCCAAAGAAGAAGAGAAAGCGGGAAACAAGAAGCCTTTCAAGAACAAGAAGCAGGGCTTACCGGATGGGCCAAAGGGCACGAACTGTTAGTCGGTTTAGTCGTTGTGCCCACGCCTTAGAGGGGGGGTGAATAAGGCGTTTGAAAATCTTTTCGGAGTTTGATAAAAACGGTGTTGGCAAATGCGGAAGCAATATATCAAATGCAGAAATAAAAGCATAAATAAAATGCACACCGATTTTATACTGGTTCGGGAACTCCCTACTCCAGTACCTCGAGGATCCTCCTCAAGGATTTCCGAATCCACTATCAAGGCCGGAGAACTTGAGGCAGTTTCGTGGCGTGATCAAACCGTTTGTTGGGAACGGTTATCCTAAGTGAGGCTCTAAAGTGGTGCCGATAGAGCTTGGCAAATGTTACTTCTAAATTGCCGATAGAAGATGGCGAGGGGGTTCCTAAAGTTTCCGATAGGAACTTGGATTACCCAAGGATTTATACGGCTATCCTTAACCGTTACAACGTGAGAATTTAACGGCTATTCTCAACCGTAAGAAGGTGTGTTTGAAAAACACAAACAAGAGTTCTACACAACGGCTTGAATATAAAAATGAAGAACAAAACTTAGCCGGTGTAGAAGACGAGTATACTCTCTCAAAAATACAATTCAAACTTATGAATATGAGAGTATATAACTAGAAACACAAGCTCAAAGTGTGTGTATAAAAATCAGGAACTTTAAGGCTCTTGAAATAGACAAAATATAGAAAATAATTAATAAAGGAGTGAACACACTTAGGATATTTAATTAGGATGTTTGGAGCTTTTTTTTCTTGTTGAAATATGAAGTATTAGGCTTGTATTTATAGTGGAAGATGTTAATTAGCCGTTAGGAGGTGATTAGAGTTGAATTAATTCAAAAATCAGCAATCAGGAATAGTGTTCTAACGGTAACGGTACCCTGTCACGGTAGCTAGGTCCCGTACGGTAGCTAGGTACCTTCTCAGGCCAAAAACTTTCTGGCGGTACCTATACACGGTACCTACACACGGTAGGGGGGTCCCGTCCATACGGTAGGGGGGTCCCGTCCATACGGTAGAGGGGTCCCGTCTCTGATTAACTCACAGTACCTTTACGGTACCCCTCACGGTACCTAGGTACCTTATGACCATTTTGACAATTTTTTCATTTTTGTCCAAATCATTTCCAATTTTGTTTAAAACCTTTTGGATGTTTGAAAATGATATAAAAGGGTTTTAAACATATTTTGTGAATGTTTTTGAGCTTGTGAATATAGGTATAGAAAATCATATCCTTACATCGGTTTCTACCTAAATTCTACGCTAGTTTAGTGTTTCGACTTCATTCTTGAGAACCGAATCTTAATGGATTCTTGTTGTACCTGAAACACTTAAACAAACGTCAAACTCTAATATTGTTTGTTAACATCAAAACATGAGGCTTAGCAAACTAAGGCTAACACGAACCCTGGGACCTCGGAGAAGCACAAATCTGCCAATCCAGTGTTTACATTACCAGTGGCTGAAGTCATGGCCCATGCTGCACAGCACGAACTAATGACATATTCAACCTATTCCCAGAAGGTCTGCAACATGGAGGACACTGGGAAATGGTGTGCTTACCATCGCAAGAATGATCACAATACAGAACACTATTATACCCTAAGGAATGAGATGGCGAGGCTAATTCGCGGGGCCATCTGAAGAAATTCGTACAAGATGGGGACGGGGGAAGTCCCGGGAATGCCCAAAATGGGAAGCGTAGAGACGGGCAGGTGGCCACATCGGGCTTGAAGATGAATTGGAAGATTAAGAGCCCACACCACACCGGCAGAAGAGGCACCACGGGTGTAATTACATCATTGGTGGGAACATTGGTGGAGACTCGGCCACAAGCCGGAGAAAGTGGGCCAACGCGGCGATAGTCAATAAGGTGGTGGCCCCGGAAGGTAAGAAGCTGAAAACTGAGCCGATTGTATTTTATAATGCTGATTTGCCAGAAACAAGGTCCCCCATAAGGACGCCCTGGTGATTACGATCGGTATAATGGATTTACTGATCCACAAGACTTTGGTGGATACGGGAAGTTCCGTTAACATCATGTATATGGATACTTACAAGGCTCTTGGTTTGACAAGAGATGAGTTATTGCCCGTTAAGACTCCGCTGACCGGGTTCACAGGCGACTCTATTGAACCGGAGGGGGTGATAACCTTGCCGGTCGAGATAGGAGATACTAAGGCCACCCGGAAATTAGACATGGAGTTCGTTGTAGTGGGTAAAATCTCCAATACCAATATCATTCTAGCCAGACCCGTATTAGAAGATTTGGAGTGTGTCATCTCACCTCGTCACCTATGCATAAAGTTCCCAACCCCCCATGGAGTTGGAATTGCCAGGGGATCCTAGAGAGTGTCCCGGGCGTGGTATTTGAAGGCAACTAAACAACCTATCAAATACGGCACCCAGGTGGGGGAGGTGACCGCACAGCTCTTAAGGCCCGAAGAGAGATGTCCCATAGTAGAAGTTGCAGGCGACATAGAGGAGGTTGAACTGGAGCCGGGCACGCCGGGAAGGTTGGTCAGAATTGGAAAGGACCTGGGGGCTGAACTCATGACGCGAGTGATCTCTGTTCTTAGAAAGTTCAGGAAGGTCTTTGCATGGAGTCCAGCTGATATGCCGGGGCTGGATCACAAGATTGCAGTTCATCGCCTCAATGTATTGCGGGATGCTAAACCGGTGAAGGAGAAGCGGAGGCATTTGTCGCAGGAAAGGAGAGACTTCGTGAAGAAGGAGGTGGCAACCTTGCAGAGCATTGGACACATCCGAGAGGTGCATTACCCGGATTGGTTGGAAAATGTAGTTCTGGCGCCTAAGCCTCCTTCGTGGAGAATGTGCGTCGACTACACAGATTTAAACAAAGCATGCCCGATGGATCCGTTTCCTCTCCCCAATATTGACCAGATGGTGGATGAGACTGCCGGATCAGAATTAATGAGTTTCATGGACGCTTTCAGTGGCTACCATCAGATCCGGATGCATCCGGCTGATGTTGAGAAGACAAGTTTTCTGACCCCTGAGGGGCTGTACTGTTACTTGGTGATGGCATTTGGACTAAGAAACTCTGGCGCGACATACACCCGGATGGTTTCTCTGGTGTTCAAAGCCATCTTAGGGCGAACCATGGAGGCTTATGTTGATGACATGATTGTCAAGTCCAAGGAGGCCCGAGACCACGTCTGGGACCTTGAGGAGGTCTTTGAAATCATGATGAAGGTAAATTTAAGATTGAATCCGAAGAAATGTACTTTTGCTGTTCAGGGTGGAAAATTCTTGGGGCACATGGTAAGCTGGAGAGGGATTGAGGCTAACCCGGAAAAGGTTAGGGTCATCATGGAGGTGGAACCACCGAAGACAGCAAAGGAAGTCCAGTGGTTGAGGGGGAGATTGGCGGCTTTGATTCGTTTCCTTTCAAAGCTGGCAGAGAAGGCACACCCGTTCTTTACTGTAATCAAGAAGAGGGCGACCTTTGAGTGGACGCAAGAATGTCAAGTAGCATTCGAAGAGCTGAAGAGATATCTGGCAAGTCCCCCGGTTTTGTCCAAGCCGGAACCTGGGGATGTCCTGACGTTATACTTAGAAATTGTAGACTGTGCCATCAGTACTGTGATTGTGAGAGAGGAAAATGGGGCCCAGCATCCGGTCTACTATGTCAGTATGACCTTGAGAGATGCGGAGTTAAGGTATTCCCGCCTAGAAAAGGCCATGTTAGTGGTCTTCTGGACGGTGAAGAGATCAACCCCGTACTTTCAAGCTCACCGGATTGTGGTGCTCACCAATGAGCCTTTGGCGTCACTTACTCGAAGCCCGGCGGCGTCTGCGCGAATGACCAAGCGGGCGGTCTTCATCAGTCAGTACAATGTAGAGTTCAGGTCGCGTCCATCAATCAAAGGGCAAGCACTTGCCGATGTTCATTTGGAGTGCACGGCCAGGGAGATGACGAGAGCTCGGGTTGAGACCCGGGTAGAAGATGACTGGTGGATGATGAGCATTGATGGATCTTCTGGGTCTCGATCCTGTGGAGCAGGTATTATCTTGATTACTCCGGAAAATTTCCGGATATATTACGCTATCAGATTTCAGTTCCGTGTGTCCAACAATGAAGCTGAATATGAGGCCTTAATCAATGGACTAAAGATTCCCGGCAAGCTGGGGGTGTCTAGGGTCCAAGTATACAGCGACTCCCGCTTGGTTGTGGGACAAATCAATGGGGAGTTCGAAGCAAAGGAAGAAAGAATGAAGAGATATCGAGACTTGTCCTTGGAAATGTTGGGCAGATTCGAGTATAAGCTAGAGCACATACCCCGGGCGCACAATGCGGAAGCTGACGTTTTGTCCAAGCTTAGCGCTGAATCACCAGAATATATAAGCAAGTTAGCAACGGTGGAGGAGTTGGCAACCACGAGTCTCAACAGGGATGAAGTGCTCTGGGTATCAGCCGATCCTCCGGAATGGTTGGACAGGTTAGCTAGATACATTGAGGACGGGGTAGCCCCGGAAGATCCTCAGGAAGCCCGGTTGTTGCGAATGAGAGCACCTACCTACAAGGTGCAGGATGGAGTCCTGTATAAGCGGTCTTACAACGGAGTTTTACTCCGCTGTCTTAGGGCGGCAGAGGCAAAAGCGCTTATGGAAGAGATACATGAAGGAGCACTACGTGAAAAACAGATGCTGACTACTGTTTCTTTTAGTAGTCTCCAGATACTGATTTCAGTAGTCTTCCGAGCAGCTGTCTCATATATTTACAGACTATTGTTTAAAAACAATTGTGTAAAATGGTTGACGACACCTGTTTTGTAATGTTTTAGAGTACCACTTTTTAGTGTTGTCCCCGTATGAGTAAGACATCTGTTTTTTAGAATTAAAGAGAACTGTGATTTTTTGTTGTCTATCTATAATGAATACTACTGTTGTTTTTAACTTCAGACTCCTAATTCTTGGTGTTGTCGTTCAACAATATAGACATCTACTTTAAAAAGTAATTGAAAGATATATCAGACAGCTGCTCGTAAGACTACTAAAGAAAAATAGGATCAGACAACTGTTATCTTTTGTTGTATTTCTAAAATATGGACTACTAATTTTGTTGTATTTTAAACAACAATTTCTTTTAGTTGTATAGTGCTCAATAACACTGCGCTTTTTTTATAGTTGTCCTTGAAATATTCAAACTATCATTTTACACAGTAGTTAGATTATAAATCAAACTACTGCGTAGAAGACAACTAAGTATGTTTGCATAAAACAACTGCTATTATGTGTTGTATTTTTAAAAATATAAACAACATTATTTGTTGTATTTCATACAACTGTTTGTTTAAATTGTCTAACGTTTATTAACAATACAGGTTTGTGTAGTTGTCCTTTAAAAATTTAGAAAACTATTTAAATACATTGTAAAGCTTTTTGAAAGACTACTATATTTCAATTTACAATTATATTTAATAATAAAAATTTATTTCAATTTTATAATATTGATCATGAAACAAAAATAAATTCCAAAATGTACAATATATTGAATAATATCTAAATACATACAACCCAAAATCTTAATAGAATCAAATAATCTAATATTTACATAATTAAAATCACATTTTAATTGTCCATTGAGCATGCGCAATTTAGTTATTTGTCCCCTCAATAACATCCAGCATTGAATCAGGGGAATAAAGACCTTCAATTCTTGACGTTGTTGTGAGCATGATAATCTGCAAGCAAAACATATACAGACCTATAGTGAGTTGAATCACCAAAAGATTAACCTAACCGAGGAAAGAAAAGAAAAAACTCACATGGAACCCGAGCTGCTGCGCCAATTGTTTTGAAAAGAGACATTGCAGACATTGAAAGGCAATGAAATTGACTTGCAGAAGCAATTAGAGTACATTGCAGACATTTGATTACTACCTCTTTTGATTTAATGCAATTAAAAGTCTATGCCCCTTCCGCATAAAAAGGCAATGCACTATAGAAAATCTCATTTTGATGAAATTGACTTACACGAGCAATTAGAGTAAATGTGTGTAATCAAATGTTCCTGGTCCATGCTAAGCGATACATGTATTATATATATGTTAATCAAATGTATAAGGAGAGACTCACATTTGAGTTGCTATCAACTTTGATATCTGTGGTAATCTTCTTGCTCTTAAGCTTAATATTAATATTATCCACAAATCAATCTCCTTTCTTTGACCCTGATGAGGTTATGGCCTGTGAAATTTACAATAGAAGATATTACATATGAGTATGCTAAAACACACACCTGACCTTAAAATCTCAAAATGCACACATTTACTTGTAATATGTATGCAGCATTAAGAAAAGCCTAATGAGAAACGCTTTTGCCTAAAAACAACCACGATAACAGTTATGTTGATTTCATCATTATGTGAAAACAAAGCCAAACTTAACCTAAAACCCACACTCCTAATTATTCACATTAGTGCAGAGCATGTACGTTAGCCACAACAACCTCAGCTTCACGCCTTCACCAGTGTCTGATCCTCAGCTACACTATTGCAATTGCCCTAGTCATAATTCTAGATCAACCCCCAAAAATACGAAGAATGAATGCCCTAACCTGGTTAATTCCAGACTTCAACGCTCACTGTGAACAGTGCGCCGAATTCAGAAACATTGCTCAAATCCAAAGCTTCTTCGCATGAAATTGCAATCCAACTTTAGACCTTGAACAACAACCCAGGTCGCTCATAAACCCCCAGAAATTGGCCTTCGATTGATTATAAATCAAAGTGAAAACCGATGTCCATGGTCACCGAATGAACAAGGACCATGAAGGGGTTACCTTCAGTTCGCCAAAGTCTAGCTCCAAAATAGGAAAATTGAGTTTAAAGTCAACAGCATTTGCTTGAGACAAGCTCAAATCTCAAAAAATCACAAGAAAATAGCAACGAAATAAAAAATAGAAGAAAAAGGGGTGAATCGGAAAAAGCTATTCAACAACCGTCCATCGCCAGAACAGTGGAGGTCATTCCCTGTCACCGCCGGTCGCTGCCTCTGTCACCGTATATGCCAAATCGCCGGAATTTCGCCGCTGTGGGTCTGCATCACTGCGTTCGCTGAGGGTCGCCGGGGATTGCTGTCGCCGCTGCTCTCATCGCCGATTGGGGAGAATCGGAGAAGAGAGGGGCGGCGGAATTCTTTGATCGAGGAGAAGGAAAAAGAGGCTTAAAAATCCTTTTATATACCCTAGGGTTTTGTACTTCGAAATTTAAAATAACGTGTCTGAGTGAAACACATTTTTCAGGCTAACTTGTTCCGAATTAAGATCCGTTTGCATCATTGGATTCGATTCGTCGATCCCTACACAACAATATAATTTTTATATTCAATAAATGAAAATTTATAAGTTCCACCTGGTCCGCAAAAATTCTTTTATATACCTTAGGGTTTTGTACTTCGAAATTTAAAATAACGTGTCTGAGTGAAACATACTATTCGCACCATTGGATTCGATTCGTTGATCCCTATCCAACAATATAACTTTTATTATCATTCGACAAGTATTTACCGGTTCCTCCTAATCCGTATTAATTACAACAACAACAACCCAGTTAAATCTCACAAGAGTAGAGTTTGGGAGGGTGTGTACGCAGACCTTACCCCTACTTGAAAGTAGAGAGGCTATTTCCAAAGAGACCCCCGACTCAACATCGAAAGTTGCATTGCTAGACTAACTGCTACGGAGTACTTCATTAATTAAAGAAGCGCAGACAGTTTAGATATCGATTTTGATTTATTGCATTGCTAGACTAACTGCTACTTCATTAATTAAAGAAGCGCAGACAGTTTAGAGATTCATTTTGATTTATTCCATCACACCCAAAAGCCAAAAAATGGTGAAATTTTGGCTCCACCGGAGATGATTGAAATTTTGACCTAGTCCGTATTAATTCTTTCGTTTAGTTAGTACCGATCATTCCTTTAATTTAAACCTTTACAAATAGAGTTAGATTAGTCTCGTAATATTAAGACGATTAGAATTCTCTGAAATATTTTTTAATTCTTTAAGGAATAGATTATCATAAAAAAATACTTCTTATTTCATTTCAAACAAATTACTCAAAACATTTAACATTAATTAATTTTTAAAAAAATTAGATCAGTCAAGATTAGATCTAATTAGAAAGAGTTTTTAAATATAACTAAAATTAGATCTAGCAGATTATATTTAATCAGATAAGATGCTTTAAGATCAAATCAAAATCAATCAGATCTTATTGCTTGCATGTTTAATGTGAGCTACTACATCTCAATTTAACATGTTTATATGTTGTTTAGATGATATCTAATTAAATCAAATCTCATTAAATTAATAGAGTTTTAAATATAATTAATCGGACTAATTAGATCAAATCGGATAAAAACAAATCTAATCGGAATAAACAAAGTCAAATCCAATAAGATCAGATCAAATCTTCAAAAATATCGAATCAAATCAAATTCAAATATAGTAAGATCAGATCAAATATTTAAAAAAATTATATCGGATCTAATTATATTGAATCAGATCACAATAGATCTAATCAGATCAAATCGATTTCAAATCTATTAAAAACCAATTTAATTGTGTAGGTCGTGTCATATTTGCTTGATCTAATCCTTAAATGCATCATATCGGATCTAATTAGATTAAATGAGACCAAAATAGATTCGATCAGATCAAATCAAATCAAATTCAAATCTATTAAGATCAGATTAAATTTTCAAAAAACAAGTTAATTATATAGGTCGTGTCCTGTTTGCCTGATCTAATCTATAAATGCATCAGATCAGATCAAATTAGATCAAATTAGACCAAAACAGATCAAATCAAATTCAAATCTAGTAAAATCATATCAAATATTTAAAAAAATCATATCGGATCTAATTAGATTGAATCAGACCACAATAGATCTAATCAGATCAAATCAAGTTCAAATCTATTAAGATGAGATCAAAACAGATCTAATCGGATCAAATTAAATTCAAATCCAATAAGATTAGATCTAATTTTCAAAAAAAAATCAATTTACTTGTCAAGGTTTTTTCTTATTTGCCAGATATAACCTCTAAATGCATGAGATATGAATTTAGTTAATATTACTTTCTCTGTCCCAAATTATTTGCCACATTTGTATTATCGAGGCAAAATATAAAGTTTTTTCAAATTTACAAATAAAAAAACTACATGAAAACTTTTTCGAAATAAGAGGTGTCAAGAATATTTTATTTTATCAAATAACCAATGAAAACGTCGAAATAAGCAAAAGTTCCCGCGACTGCTGAAAAAGCAAATGTTGGGAATATTTAGGGACGGATGGAGTATTAAAATTTACCTCCAAATCTCTACAATTTTAATTTCCCTCTATCTAAATTCATTTTCCCTCTTCCTAATTTCTCTTTTCCTCTTAAAAATTCCAAACTTCACAAAAAAATTCTATTCCCTCTCGAACATCACAAAAAATTTGGAGGCAAAAAATTTTCATTACTAGTGGAATTTTTTAAATGTGTTTAATCTAAAATTTTTAGGCAAAAAATCTCATTCTCTCTCAATTTTGTCAAACCTCATGAAAAGTTTGGAGGCAAAATACTCCCCCCTTCTTCAGCATCAGACCTCCCCCATCTCTATACTGGACCGAGAATCCATTTTAGGACGCTACTGTTTTGTCTTTCTTGGAGAATCATTGGGGAATCATAGTTAAATATGGTTCATCGATGTGGTAGATCGGACGGCGGGCTTTCAGCAGCGGCAATTAAGAAAGATCTCGACATCACCGTCGTCTACGGCCGCTACCTGAAGGAGATGAAGCTCTAGTCTACTATTGTCGTTGGAAAACATAGGGCTGACCGAATTACCTCCATTAGAGCTTACCAATTTTGCTCCCCGTCACCGTACTCAGTCGCAACCTTCCCTGGAAGCAGACTTTTGAGCTTCGCCCAAAATAGAGTCCAAAGCAGGTGAATATTAAACACGAAAAAATAAAAATCTTTGAGGGTGAGATTGGTAGCCTCCTTTAAAAAGCTCTATTTCGTGTTCTCTTGTGTCAATTCTGAACTTGTGATGCATTAGATTTAGTTTTAAACCATTTTATCTATAAAGCAAGCTTAGAATCTTGTGATATTTTTGCATTTTATGAATATTTAGGGGCTGTTTGTTTCAGACTCTTAATGGTTCAGATGTCTGAATGGTTCAGCACTTAATGGTTCAGACTGTTTGTTTCAGCCTCTTAATGGTTCAGATGTCTGAATGGTTAAGAGATTTGCCTCTGAATGGTTAAGTATTATACAGAGTCTGAATGGTTAAGACCTCTTATCTGAATTGATCAGACGTTTGCCTCTGAATAGTTAGGGGCTGTTTGTTTCAGTCTCTTAATGGTTCAGATGTCTGAATGATTCAGCACTTAATGGTTCAAACTGTTTGTTTCAGCCTCTTAATGGTTCAGATGTCTGAATGGTTAAGAGATTTGGCTCTGAATGGTTAAGTATTATACAGAGTCTGAATGGTTAAGAGCTCTTTTCTGAATTGATCAGACATTTGCCTCTGAATAGTTAAGCAATATACTAGCTCTTAATGGTTCAGACCTCTTACTGGTTCAGCACTTAATGGTTCAGACTTCTTACTGGTTCAGCACTTACCCATTCAGAAGTTGCCAAACAGCCCCTTAAGCAATATACTAGCTCTTAATGGTTTAGACCTCTTACTGGTTCAGCACTTAATGGTTCAGACCTCTTACTGGTTCAGCACTTACCCATTCAGAAGTTGCCAAACAGCCAAAAGTGCATCCTAATTGCAATGACATTTGTGTGTGGGGATCAATAAAAATGAAATAGAAAATGAGATATATTTCTTTGATCTGGAACTTGGTCTATGCTTAAATGCTTTCTTTTCCTACCTTTTTTACATGCATATGCTTGGTTAGAATCTAGTGGGTTCTCTTTCACTTGCACTTTTGATTTAAGTGTTCTTCAAATAAATATTATCCCTTGTTCTATTTCTTGAATTGTCGGTTTAGTCTAGTAATTTTATATTTAAGGTTTATACAGTCATGTTTTTTGGCTTATTACGTGCTCATAGATAAATCAGTTAGGGTGCTTGGGGGTTTGTTTTTGTTGTTGCTAATTGGAAATTCATCAAACTTTGGAGTTCTGCAAAGGGCATGAATTGAGTTTTGATTCATACTTCTCTATTTTTGTGTTGTGTAAATGATGTGAGTTTCAAACTCATTCATGGGTTTCAAATCTCAATTAACCACAACTATCCCTATAAGTATGGACCATGGTTTAGCTACTGATCTTGCGCTAATTAAAACATAGCACCAAGTACTATGAACTCTGATCTTTGGCAGCACGTCTTGGAACAATTAGATTCTGTAGATGATTTCTACATGGGTTGGCATGGTCTGTGGCTACCTTATAGGTTGTTTTTAAAAGCTACAATATGTCAGTCCTAGTGAAGTTTATTATGCTGCATAGTTTTTGTTTGGTTTCTACATCATATCTATGTTTTGGGCCAGGGTTTAACACTTTTTTTATTTGCTTTTGCTAGGGTTTGAAAGTCTACATTGGCTTTTGCTGAACCATTTAATAATCATTAAATTGGGTATACTGGTTCTTTTGCTGGGCAGGAAAGTTAGCTAGCACCAGGGGACGCCTCCATTGGAATTAACCGCCAACCTACTTCATTCATGGAGGGTGGTTAAGTTAGCTAGACATCTTCTTTACTAGTTGAACAATTCAAGAAACTGAAGTTTGAGTAAGCTATCACTGGATTACATAAAATGTAAAGTAAGAACTTGTATGGTCTGCTTCTCTTGCTGGACTATCCTTTCAATTGGTTTGTATTGCTTGGCAGGAGAGCCGATCTTGCAAACACCTTTCATTCTTAACCCATCACTTCTCTCTTGTTTTTAAACTTTTTTTCTTTAATTCAATCTCGTTGGAATTCTTCACAAATACTCTATCATTAAATCTCTTTTAGGCTTTGTTCTTATTATCTTTTGGCTTCTTGTACATGTTCTTTAGAGATGCCACACCCCTTAACTTTTTTCCTTTTTATCATTAAAATTTTAGTTGAAAATAAAAAATCTCTCAGTTCGTTTTTTTTGAAGGCATCTCTCAGTTCGTAATATGTTAGAATTTCACTTTTTTTTGGTTAAAATTAAAAAAAACATTTATCAAATGCAATTTGTATGATTGCAACTAGTAATAGATTACCGTTTTTTGGAACTTTAAAAATAGTTCTAGACTTAATAGCTAGACTAGTGTTTAAAAAGAGTACTTAACTTATTATAGACAATTGTGGTAACAAGAACTATATGACACAGATAACTAGTAATAGATTAACGTTTCTTAAAACTTTAAAAACTGTTCTAGGCTAAATACCAAGACTACTGTGTAAAGTAAGTACTCTTAATTTATTATAGACAGTTGTGGCAACAAAAAGCATATTTTGATCTGACACATACAACCAGTAATAGATTACCGTTTCTCAGAACTTTAAAAATAGTTCTAGGCTTAATAGTCAGACTACTATTTAAAATGAGTTTTCTTAACTTGTTATAAACAACTATGGCAACAAAAGCCATATGATAGAGACAACTAGTAATAGATTATTATTTCTCAGAACTTTAAAAACAGTTCTAGGCTAAATAGCTAGACTACTGTTGAAAATGAGTATTCTTAACTTATAAGAGACAATTGTGGTAACAAAAATCGTATTTTGATATGACACAGACAACTACTAATAGATTACCGTTTCTATGGACTTTAAAAACAGATGTTGGCTAAGTATCTAGACTATTGTTAAAAAAGAGTATTGTATTCTTAAAATACACAACAGTACCAAAAATACTATATGACATAGACAACTGGCAATAGATTATTGGTTCTCATAACTTTAAAAACAGTTCTAGACTGAATAACTAGACTACTGTTTAAAAAGAGTATTCTTAACTTATTATTGACAACTGTGATAACAAAAACTGCATTTTGATATGACACAGACTACTAATAATAGAAAACCATTTCTCGAAACTTTAAAATTAGTTTTAAGCATAATAGCTAGACTACTACTTTTGTAGCCAACAACAACAAACAGTAGTCTGATTTTTTTTAACTACTGTCTTTCCATAAACAGTAGTTAATCAACAGTCGTCTGACCCTGTTTTTGACGTAGTGGAGTATGTGCTGCACATCAGGGCCCATACTCTATCTCCAGAAGGGCGATAATCCAGGGATATTTCTGGCCAACAATGAGGAAGGATTGTGAGGAGTATGTGCGCAAGTGTCCAACCTGTCAACAATTTCAGAATATGCCCGGGAGGCCAGCCACAAACTACACACCCATCAGTTCGGTGATCCCTTTTTCCAGGTGGGGGATCGATATCGTGGGAGCCCTTCCAAAAGGAATTGGACAGGCAAGATGGATAGTGGTGGCCATAGACTATTTTACCAAATGGGTAGAGGCTGAGCCACTTGCTGGGATCACAGGAAGGCAAATGATCGACTTCGTTGGAACCAATATACTTTGTAGGTTTGGGGTCCCGAAGCAGATCATATTCGACAACGGAACCCAGTTTGAAGAGGCAGAGTTCCAAGACTTACTCAAAACTTGAGGAATTCAACATACGAAATTGTCTGTAGCCTATCCCCAGGCTAATGGTCAAGTGGAGAACGTCAACAGAACGATCATAAGCGGAATAAAAAAGAAGCTGCTGTCGGAAGGGAGCAAGTGGGTGGATGAACTACCTAGAATCATGTGGACGTATAGGACCACTCCAAGAAGGGTTACGAGTGACACTCCTTTTGGCCTGGCTTATGGGTTTGAAGCGTGGGCACCAGCTGAGACGGTGATCCCAACCAGGAGGGAAATGGTATATGACCCGGAAGTGAACAAACAAAATCAGACCATCGAGCTGAACTTCTTAGAAGAGCGAAGGGATGAAGCACGAGTCCGGGCAGAGAACTACCGACGCGAGGTGAAATCTTACTTCGATAGTAGGGTGAAACCGAGGGCGTTCCATGTAATACCCCGTATCAAGATGGGAATGGGAAAAAGCTCAAAAAGGATTGATAGTACTACTCATATCTACAAGGTGCATCTTCTTTTCGAGAGCTCACTACCTAGAAACTCCAAGGTTAAGCGTGCTTGACCTGGAGCAATTTTTGGATGGGTGACCCCCTGGGAAGTTTTCCTTGGGCGCGCACGAGTGAGGACAAAGTGTGCGGGAAAGACGTGTGTTGGTTTGTGGGGCTAGTCTACAATCCTATGAGCGGACACTTATGGCTAGGGTGGGGGCCGGGGTGTTACAAATGGTATCAGAGCAACCCTGCGACCGTGACGGGCCAAAAGAGCTTAGTTCACCTAGCGGGGAAGATCTATGGGTTCAAAAAAAAAAAGGATGCAACGAGGACGTTGCATTCCTAAGTGGGGGTGAATGTAATACCCCGTATCAAGATGGGGGATTATGTCCTAAGGAAGCAAGAAAAGAGTCAACCAACTAAGGGCGGAAAGTTAGCCAAAAAGTATGAAGGACCTTATATCATCAAGGCCGTGGTTCGCCCAGGTACCTACAAGTTGATGACTCCAAAAGGAAAAGAAATAGATAGGACGTGGAATGTAGAGCACTTGGTAAAATTTTATCAGTAAACCTGTTTTGTAAAGCACTCTATTTTTGGGTTTAAGGCATTTATTTCAATAAAAATTTCTTTCCTTTAAAGCCAAGTGTCTTTGCAATTTCATTGTTCTTTAAATTTCTTTAAAAAAAGGGGGGGGGGGTGTAGGACCTCAGGCGCTACCAACTCTTCTAAAACCAATTGGTGTTAGAAGAGGCGCATACCCTAGCCTTATAGTGCATTCAACACACAAGCGTCCACGACATTTGACTATGACTTGGCCCACATAGCCTCCGCCATGGGACAATTGCTGCACACATGGCCAACAATCTCCCCCTCAGCAATTGCTCCCGCTGGGAATCGAACTCGTGACCTTGGCTCTGATACCACTTGTAGGACCTCAGGCGCTACCAACTCTTCTAAAACCAATTGATGTTAGAAGAGGCGCATACCCTAGCCTTATAGTGCATTCAACACACAAGCGCCCACGACATTCGACTATGACTTGGCCCACATAGCCTCCGCCATGGGACAATTGCTGCACACATGGCCAACAGGGGGGAGAACACCCCCTGGTGAGATAGACCCACATTATAGGGAGGTAGACAAGTTTATGCCACCTGCTAAAAATAGGGGAGGTAGATAAGTTTATGCCCCCCGGAGGTAGATAAGTTTATGCCTCCGTTAAATAGGAAT